CTTTTATCAAATAAATTATTAACTGTAACAACAAACTGACTCAAAAGTAGTCAAATTACTTAGTCACTGTCGTTAATAGAGAAGAATTTCTCCAAATCAAACTTCCTTTAGCATTTCTATAAGTAGGTGCTCTAAGGACCCATAAATTCTCTAGTAAAAATAGTTATTTTCGTCGTTTCTTAAAATGGTCAGGATCAAATACGGTCACGATTAACATAGAATTAAAAAAATGACAGAGTGAGACCTCCGTGTCACCAGCCTAAATTGACACAGCCATAACCACTCTTTTTTTCTTCTTTTTTTTTTTTTTTACATACGGCGTAAAGGAAATCTGGGATGCCGATCCAGGATCGGGTTTGTTTTGCTGTTCAGAAATGCCCGAAGGAGCAACAACCCCCGGCTGCGGATTGCAAGGGCCTTCTCTGACGGGGGAGAGCCATCGTATACAAATAGCATGTATCCTATGCGTGTTATGTGTCTTAAAGACAGCTCTCCTATAATAAAAGCTATATTTACATCTAAAAAAGGCTGTTCGTCTTTCATAGAATATATCCCAGCTATTTTTTTACATTAAAGTAATGATATCATACGAAATAATTAAAAGAAGCCCTATGACATATCCAGGTTTAACTGATTTTCAACGACATTTTAATGTAAATTAGACCGCTAATTGTGATAGTCTTGCAGCTTTTGTGTGGAAATCGTGGAAGAACATGCTTAGCAAGATACAATTCGATTAAAATAAGGTAATGGTATAATAAGGTACTATTTTTCCCCGAAATTGTACAACCATTTATTTATGAATGTTTTGGTATTAAGCCTAAGTTTCTGAAATATTCCATTATTTCTTCTGCACAATTGAGTTTTATAGATGGTCCTGCAGCAATGGTTGTTAACTTAACCAATTAGAGTGGGCTTTATGCTGCCATCTGGAGGAGAAAGCAAATAATTGCAGATCTCTATTGTGTATTTTGTGGAAATCCGTCAGAAATAGTTGACATGCAAAGGCATTACCAAAATTATTAACTTTGTTTTTCTATTAGAAGCTTGAGATATATATTGACTAGAAGATGTGTTTGCTCCCCGAGAGCTCTGTCTAATTTATATGTTCATTTGATATTAGTCTTGCATAACTTAAAACAAAACAATATTTAAAAGTCTTGAACTGTAAAATTGACCTTGAGAGCTGAGGAGATGCCGGTATAGAGTGGATATGAAAAAAAAAACACATAGTCCTGTGAAAATAGTTGGTATTTGTAATGTAAGGAAAAATGTGATGTGTCTGTACTAAACAGCAGATCTGCAAAATGGAAGTCAGTTCTTAGATTTGAAGAACAAAATGCAAGAAAATAAAAATTACAAGATAAATTTTAATCTCATTATCATGTAAGAAAATAGTCTGATGACATCAAGGTTCAGTATTTTGCCAATAATTACTAAATTAATGTTGGGTTTGAAATTAATGAACTTCACCAAAGAACAGCGTACCCACCACTGTTAAACATTGTAAAAGGAGCATTATGTTGTTTTGTTTGTTTTTTTGTTTTTGTTTTTTTCAATTAGAAATACATTTTTATTCAGGGCTGAGGAACTTAAAATGTGTTATGAATGCCAGTCAGTCAGTGTTGCCACAAAACTATTTATTAAATTATCGATAGGTGAAGAGGAACTTCATATTTTTCAGCACAACAACAATTACTTAATGTATGCATCCAAATCAACAAAATAGTGGAAGAAGAT